AGAGACGGTTGCGATGTGCTGTCCTTTAACCACTCATCATTTGTTTGACATACAAACCGGAACCGGGGTGGCGATATTCACAAGATCGCCCTGGGCGCCAGAAGTTAGACAGGTAATCAGGAGTGTTCTATTTTCATCAGAGTTAAGCGACAAGGTTCTATACTACCAGACTGGCCCTGCCTGCCACCCAGGTTCATCACTGCGCCAATGCAGCCATTGTGTGCTACCGCTGTGGTGAAAACCACTTGGCGCGTAACTGTGACACACCAATGGAGACTATTCGGCAAAAATACGGTCGGGATTGGATAATTTCTTTCCCTCCGGGCTATCAGACCTGCACCACAATGTTCGCCAACACGGACAACTTTGCCGCCTCACTGTCTCCAGCTGATTGAGCCAAGCTAGTGTGCGTGCTGCAGAGCGGAGGGGAGGCACCAGCTGCTCCCCCGGCTCAAGCGCCGCAGCAGTGTTTTGCCAGTGGCTCGTCGTGAACCCGGCACCTTGAGCCCCTTCTTATTTCCACGGACTATTCAACTCGTTCATATTGCCCACATCCACATCATCTCCGCTACTCAGATTGCAGGGTGTCACCCCTGCCCCTCATGTACCAGAGCCAGACGACACTCCGGCCGTAGCTCTATTCACCCCCACACCCAATGATAATGAAAATGATGTTGCTGAATTTGTCCCATGCGAACCTAAACTCATGTCCGAGTTAACGGATCAAGACCTCCCTCAAACTTAAAGGGGAGGCAATTGCTACGCCGCGCTATGATCCGCTCGCCTTACACGCACTAGGATTGTCCACACGGATGCGGAGTCAGTCACATCTGACGCAGGCATATGCGCTCACCTGACCATTACTTGCCGCAGAGCCAGACAATACTCTTTGTCGTGACTGTTGTTCCAATAGAGAATGAATATGCCAATCTGCTGAGGAGAGGCATAACACCGTTCATATCTCCTCTTCAACTACATACCTGCTGGAGTGGAGGCCATGCACATTCACAACGCGTCATATGATGAGCTCTCCTATGTTCTCAAGAGGGCTATGTAACGCCAACGGGAAGACGGCAGTTGACAAGCACGAGTGCAATCAATCACCTCGACGCTGTGGTGAAATAGGAGACAGTATACAAAATGTTGTGCAGACACCAGTATATGGAAAGATCAGTGCTAAAAAGCTAGAACTGTTGCGGTCGATTGAATGACAGTTCAATGAAACATAGAGAGAGGTTCACAGCCAAGTACTGCCATGGCGGGGTTAGGCGAGAACTGGGGGGTGTTGCACTGTGACTCTCACATAGCCTCTATGTGTGTCAGCAGAGGAGGTTCTTGAGGGGTAGTGTCAATGTAGGGATGGTTGAGGGAGGTCAACAGCAACACACCGGATATATATTGGCACATATTGTGCCCAACCTGAAAAGGGCGCACGTGCCTGACTTATGGGCCGGTTGCCGGGTGCGCTGCGTGGTTGCGCACATCAGCCCTCTTACTTCCAGTTGGCGTCTGCCAAATCTGCCAATTATCCACGTCAAGAACTCTTGGTTCTTGATGTCTGCTTCCCTTCTCTAGCCTCTCGTATGAGAATATATATCAAATGAGCTGTATGCATAGTTGTGTACCTATATTTATCCAGCATTACATGCAGGACATTACTGACACACGTGCCAGGTCACATACGGATAACCACAATCCACAATCCTCCTGCTTGTCAGTATCTCCAGGCCGGTCTTGAGTCTGATAATCCGCTCCGATGACAGGCACGCATGCCACACATTCACCTCGTGCAGTTTGGGTACTAGGCTCCTGTCTCTCACCAGCACTTGTCCCAATTTGGACAGCACATATTCCTTGGCTGGCATACAGCGCGACTCCAAGCAGATGTTCTCCAGACCTGGCAAGTCCCTCAGCATTGTTGTCCATTTGGCCCTGTCTTCAGGCACCCAGGAGTCTTCGTCTATGACTAGGATTCTAACGGCCCCCTCCAGCTTCAAGAAAGTCAAGTAATTGGATTGGAACCAAGCGAGGGCGTGGGCGGGCCCTGGAGCATCTAAGAGGTAGGGAGAGTTGTGGTACAGTCGTGATAAATGTGCTACCACAGGAGAGGAGGGACAGGGGCGCGCACCTGGCACAACCAGGTCAGGCTTCTGGACGTAGACCTTGTAGCATGAGGGCGGATGCTGTTGGGTTTATTGGACTCTGTCGGGGCACTCAGTGGTGAAGTGGATGTGAGAGTCATCTGCTTAGGCCACTGGCCGGATGCCCCATTGGTGTCGACCCAGTCTGTCGACAATGCCTATGTGAGCACGGATGGTTGGATCGTATTCGAGACCTCCCTGTCGGACTCGGTGCGGTTGAGCGACACAGACTCTGAACTCCCTACCGATAGGTCTTCAAGCCATTTGCGGAGAAGCTCTCGACACTTGGTTGGATATGCCACCGGTGTCAACATCAGGTCCAGTGCGCTTGTCATGTCGACTATGTTACTCCTGTACCACCCAATGGGATCTTGATCCATAACATTGATCATCACGTCCACATC